TTGTGGCCACGAAGTAGTATTTCGTGCGCACTACTACTTCGTGGCCACAAATAAAAAATTTTTTTGACCATGTCATCAGAGGGGCTCCGTATAACAGAGAACCCATACGACCTTCTATTCTTAAGGGGCGCCCCTCCCTGTTCCTCCGGTTCAATTTGCATGTTTTCTAAGCTAAAACAAGGCTTGGTTTTTGGTCCACTCTATAAAACCTCAAACTCAATGCTATTTCTGACATTTTGAATATAAAAGCTTCCTGGATAGGAAGTCCAGTGGATTGTTATTTTTTGGGAATAAACTAAATATTATTTAATTATGGATAACTGCACAGATCCTTTATTTCCATCAGCTTTACAGATTTACATTACTAGTACTGTGATCCTTTTAGTGGCATTATTTCATGTATTCAATGACCGACTTAAAGACTCAGAGACAATTAAGGTACCTGCCAGGGACAGATTTCTATTTAAAATATGATGATACAGAATATAAGTAGTAAAAGACCCACATCACCATAGATCCTCCACCTTACTCAGCAGTGGACACAGTGCTATTCCGCATAATCACACACTTTTCCCACCAGTACAAGCTGGAGAGTATCTGTAAATATCATCCTTCGTGTTGATCTAAATGAAGACAGTTTTGTGCAAACTTTTCATGTGTTTTTTATTTTTAGATTTCGGACAAATGGACAAAAAATAAAATACCCAAAATGTTCCTGTTAAAGGTACATTTTGCAATGCAACAAAACAGCCAAGTAATGCTGTTTTGCTCACAGAGGAGAAATAAATGGTTGCTTTCTAACATCAAGTTCAGCTGTCAGCCGGCAGCAAACAGTCTGGACATTTCTGACCTTCAAGGAAACAAAGAAACACACTGTGGTGCAGAAAACAGAAAATGCTGCTGTAGCTCTTATGACTTATTTCACTCTTCATTCTGCTGAAGGGTGACCTGCTCCTCTAAAGGTGACAGGGTTAAAACTGAAAAGATTTCAACAAACTCTTCTGTTATAGCATGAAAAGACAGCCGATCAGGAAATGATTCCCATGAAGCTGTTCATGTAAAATTAAAGTATTCGCCGTGCAGATCTCTAAGTAAATCCACCTCTTTAACTGTGTGAGCTTCCAAGTTTACATACCATACATAAGATGTACATGTGCATAACAGATGTAGCCTTGAATTAGTCATCAAAACAATTTATTTAAAAAATTAAACTTGCAAACAAAAATGGCAGTGAAAAGATTCCCCTTTGTTTTGAGAATTCACATATATATTTATTTAAAAATAGGCGGAACAGAGATTAGAAGAATCTGGTTAACATGCAGATCATTAATGAGGATGTAAAGCATAATTGTTGCATGATAATTGTAATCATTTAGCAAAAAGCTTGATGCATAGGGCCTCTGTGCTCTAAATAACTTTCTCCTATAGCAGATAAAAATTTCTGATACCACAGCTTGGATCTGCAGGTTAGAGGACCTTTCATGCAGAGCAGACAACACATGACTTTACAAGATAATCTGCTAATAAAACAACACATACAGAATGTACCTACAGTCAAAAAATTTGTTTCCAGCTCCTAAATTAAAACTAAAGGTGTGAGGATTGCTTTTTTTCTTCTTCACATGATGCAGTTTTTTAACAGCTGGTATCCGAGGTGCCTGGAATCTCCACATGTTGGCAAAGTGTGGGTAAAAAATCTGGAGGATGTTCTCTTCACATAAAAGGATGTTGATTCCATTAATCTGATTTGTTCAGGTATCTGGCAGCATATTTTCGACACTCAGTCTCATCTTTACGAGAAAAACAGCAACCATCTGGCGTCTCTACTACACAGCTGCATCTCAATAAACTAGAATATCCTCAAAAAGTTTAATTAAGGAAACAAAACTCTGATTTTTTTTTAAACACAGATTTATTTCAAGCAGATGAAGAAACCATGACATTAGAAAGTTACCTCAGAGCGGTTTCATATTTCTTTTAATAGAAATGTGGTCCTAATAAAGGGTAGGTCTGTATAGTGTAGAAGTCCTCTTCTCATTAAATAAGGCGTCATTTTGCATAAACTAATGCATCAGTGCTGTCCTGCATCTAGGTCATCAGCTGCTGAAGTGAAACAGAAACCCAGGTTGCTTTAACAGCAGCCTTCAGGTTATCTCCATTGATGGGTCTGGTGTCTCTGTTCTTCTCGTGGACATCATTGCATAGATTATCTCTGGGGTTTAGGTAGTGAGTAATCAGTCAAATACAATGATTCCAGGGTCATTAAGCAGATATGGGTACTTTTAGCACCAATGATACAAGTGTGGAGGACAACATCAGTCGTATATATATATATATATAC